TTTTTTTTTTTCTGTTGAATCCATGATGTTTTTAGGTTCGTTTTTTCAGCAGCTCATTGCTTGAATAGTGCTTTGTAATAAATTTAATACAACCATAAATTGCTCGGGATCAGTGACAGTACCGTAGTTAGTTTCGACGTAAAATTTTTCAATATACGATACTAATGACAACTTCGAAATTCAACCTTTCGCGGAAGGAATCATCGACACCTTTCTGATTTTATTACTTGTAACGCATGTGATTTATTGTTGCATACTTATTAAAAGCAATTTCTGGTAGTTTACTGAAGGGGAGTCTGGATTCGGACCAGACAAGTTTACTGTCGGGATGTGGTAACTTTAGCGATCGCATCCAAAAACACTAGATATATGTATGATTCTGTGCACAGTGTGTTGTATGCAAATGACAGTTGTCAGCGGTGCCTCTTACTGTTGTTGGTCATGCTGCTGAATCGACTCAGCAATATGCATTTTCAGATTTTCTGCAGCCGACAAAATCTCCTGCAATTTAGTTTCAGCATCAATACTGGACATTGGTTAAGTCATGACTTTGCGACATTTTTTAGTCTCCTTCCATTGTCCACTACAGTTTTTACAGTTTTGCAAGATACCTGTGAAGGTGCTGACTCTTTCGCTATCGCGTCATAAAAACTGCGCAACGATTCTGCCGCCTTGCTATAGTCCTTTTGTTTTGCTTTGAAAATGGCGTAATTTAGGCGGATCTGAGCGCTGTTGTTCTTGTCCAGTTGTACGGCTCTGTCGTACGCTTTGCCCGCGTTCAGCGCATCATCCAGATATGTGAGAACCACTGAAAACACATTTCGTTCGTTTTTCCTGAACAAGCTGTTTGCCCAGTTTATCGGACGTCTCTGTTGTGAGAGCAGTAATAAAAACAGATCGGTCTGCGCTGCTTTGGATCCTGCTCCCCATCGCTTACTTCAGAGCATTGTCTCTTCACCTTTCTCAAAAACTAAAACGCAAGCTTCTCAATTTGTGCCACTGCCTTTCAAGTACTATTATTGCTACTACTATTGTTAACATCATCATTACTTATTATTATTCTGGTTATTATTATTTTGACTGCTTTTGCCGTCATTGTTATTATTGCTATTATTATTGCAGTTTCTATTATTCCTGAACTACTTTATTATTACTATTATTATCATCGTTATTATTATTATTATTATCATTATTATTATCATCGTTATTATTATTACTATTATTATCATTACTATTATTATTATTATTACTATTATTATTATTACTACGACTACTATTACTATTATTATTATTATTGAGTACAGGATGCAGCAGGTAGGATATTTTTCATTTATCTGGCACGCTTCTGTTTGGTGGATGAAATGAGAGACGAGCCTGCCAGTGCCATGTAAGCGATTGCAGAGCGTGTATTCAGATTAATCGCTGAGGATAAGAAATGATATGCGGAAGCGTGCTGTTGCATGGCATTGTGTACCAGGCCCAGATTGTAGCATATCTTCCATTCCAATGGACATAGGTAGTTGGCCTGCAAGAAAAGAGTTTTACGTTGAGGGTACTTCGTTCCAACGTATTCTAAAAGCGCAAATAAAAGTAAGTAGCAGTTTGGGAACACCTTTTTCAGACAGCTTATTGCTGCCACGTATTTGCGTTTCCCGAAGAAACACATCCCAATGTTGTTCCACAGCGGTCCATTATAATCGCACTTTTCCGCAGCTACTCTACAAAATGACCAGCTTCATTAAGGCTCGCAGAGACAGTCGAATGGACAGCAAATTTGCTCCCACTAGCCCGAACCTTTTGGGGCACACCGGCTTCTGTTTTAGTGATTGTAAAAGGTGGAGAACATGGATGGTGCAGCAGCTGACCTGTACTTCGTCAACGCCACGTCGTGCTCACCATGAGTTTGAATAATTGAACCGGCGGCCAAAATATTCTGCGGATGCGTTGGATCGTAGCTCAATGCCTTGCCCAGGACAGAGAATGCCTGAGTGTCATTTTGAATTCTTGCATACAGTAAACCCATGTTTGTTAGTATCTCGAGATTTTCTGGATCCATCTGCAACTCCAACCAAATTCATGTGGCAATATCCAACTGAAACTGTCGGTGCGAGCAATCTATTCATTTCAGAAAGCATGCACCTTGTCTAGCCCCCAAGACTGTTTTCCCACCAACACCAAAAAGTTGGTATATTTTTTTAAGGCGTTCGTCTGCAGCACCCAGGCGTATGCCGGTGATGATATTAAAACGGGCGAGTTGCATATGGCGTAGGCACACGTTCCCGACGTATCAGCTTTCTAGCTTTTCTGGTTTTCCAGTTGAAAGCGGGTAATGAAAAGGCAAACATACAGACACACACACAGCCTCTTGCCAATATACATTTTTAAATTTGTATATATGCAAAAAAAGTAAAAAAAAAA